TTCAGGTGCCTCCTCATCAAAAGCAGTGTCTACAGCCCCCCACATGCTTAACAAAATAACGGAATTTCTGTACTTAACCAAACTAACAAAACCTATCTCAATGACGGCAGGTTAGCTAAGGTAGTCAGGCTCATCACTGTGCCCTAGGGAATAAGGGGCCTTACGAGATCCACGCCATTGGCTCCTCTAAAAAGTTGTTTTTAATCTAACTGTTCAGTACACACAGTGCTCACCCAAGACACAGGGAGCAAGCTCATTTCCTGCCTTTGCCTGAGAAGGTGCAGGTCAGTATCCCACACTTGCAGGAAATTACTCAAACCAGTGATCAGTAGACTGATGCAGAATGCTCTGTCTTCTTTACTTCAACTGCAACAGCTAAACACTCCTTAAGACAGAGATGGAGAACAAGCATAACTCTTTTGGAAGTACTCACCTAAGCAAAGGAAAATCTGGAATACCTTGTCTGCTCTAGTGTGATCATGCAGTCTATACTAAAAAGATACTCGATAAATTGACTATGTAGGTAACATTTTAAGGCCTGGCACACAGGTGAACATGCTCAGAAGGGCAGAGGAATTAACTCCAGGTGTCTCACATCTTTAGCTAACACTAGCCACTGAAGTACAGAATGGGGTTGGGGAAACCACTGCCTTTTCCTTCAGGCTTTCATTTGTAAAGACAAATATTCTCAGTTACAGCTCCATACATGAAAAGTACTTGTTTCCCACATGCTGGGTGAGCGCTACTCCGATCAGTGCTACAACTGATTAGTTGGTCACTAAGATGTGAACAGGATGCTGTTAAGTCCCACTGCAGTGTAGAGAGATACATTTGAGCAGACAATCTGATATGGAAAGTAGAACTGCCAGCTGCTGTTTCTTCTGAGCAGTGATATCAGGTTCCCACAATGGAAGCGGGTTTGGAAAACAAAGTAGGAAACTACATGAATTACTAATTGTGTTACTTCCTTTCTCTAGAGCATCTTTAACAAGCTGCATCACAAATGAAGGTTGACACACACTGGAAAACTCACGGAACGTGTCTTTCTTCTAAGATCTCACAAACAACCTTCTCAGCTGTCCTCGAACATGTGTCAACTGAAAAGTAAACTCCTATTGCTTTCCTCCATCTATGTCTTAACAAATTTCATTCTAACATTGTCCACTAGGTTCCCATTTCTGTGTTTTGCCATCTGGATCTCATCTTTATAAACACAAGTTAATTTCACCCACTTGGCTCACTTCATCTGTAGAGACTCATTAAATGGCTTTAAAGATGATTTACTAAAAAAGCTAGAGCTAAAGATTTAACATGAGAAGAGATTAATTTAAGTAGAGAACTTCTTACTTTAATGTCAAAATTACATTACCAATGACTTCTGGCTTCCCACATTGATCAACTGATTCCTGCCTTATTCACATTTGTTCTCTGACTCTGTACATCTGTACTAGCCCATTAATTACTCAGAAGGCACCCCAAGTTCACAGCAATGATTTAGTCACAAGTTTCAAACATCTGAAATACAAATGTGTAATGGCAGAAATTTAGAAGGAAAAAGAGAGTCCAAACACCAGTGCTTTGTTTCTGAAGCAGTATGGAACACACTGAGCCCAGAGTTAAAGTTTATATTAAACTAGTTTTCTTTTGCTTATTGAATTTCACCAAAACAGTACCAAGCTCCCACAAAGTAACATCAATCTGAATGGATTTACTCACTCAGTTATTTCAGTTATATTTTTAAATGGTATTAAAAGTTTGTACTTAAATGCCAAACTTTTCTTAGTTTGAAACAAACAAACAAACAGACGTTGAAAGAGTTACAGCAGGAACATAAACAGCACACCAACTACCTGCTCCTCCCTCCTCTGGATCAGCACAGCACAGAGTCACCGTCTTTCTAGTTTATGTTCTCATATCTTCAGTAGCTCAAGTGATACAGATCTATGCTTGGCGCTGAAATTTTGCAATTTATTCCTCAAAATGATGTACAGGACTGTATCTTTAAACATGTTTTTCTTCTTCAATCTGTAAGACAAAATGGAAGAAAGCCCACATACGAGAAAAAAAAAAAAAAAAAAGGAGACAGAGCCCAGAGTTTGCTCCTCCTAAGAGTACATAGCATCTACCTTCTTAACAGCTTCATAGGATATGTAAATGTCCCTAAAGATATCAGGAGGGAAAGATTAGGGATGAATTAGAACGGTTGCATTCTTTTCCATTCTCTTCATCTAAATCTAGGTACAACTGATAAGACACACCAGTTCAGGGCTCTGCAGGCCCTGATGCCTGCTGCTGTAGCTGTGTCACAGAACCACAGAATGGTAGGGGTTGGAAGTGACCTCTGTCCCAACAATGTGTAACCAGTTAGTCCAGAGGGAACTCCATCCAGCAATCAACAGGTAGATCCTGTAGCTGTAGTGCCACAAGCATTGTTGAGAAGCCCTTTCAGTAAATGAACCCCTGCCTTGTGCTCCAGTATCAATTTGAAAATGAATATTTTTAAGCATAGTAAAAAGGAGCCAGGTCAAAAAAAATGGGCCAGTCAGTCAAAACCCTATCTGGATTACTTCTGAAAGATTCTGTCAAGCAGCTGGGCTAATTTTGACTATTAAAGTTTTCATTTGACTAGAGATCTAACAGCAGGCCCACTGTCTTCAAGGACTAATATTGCCTCTGGCTGCTCCTCAATACCAACCAGCAGTCCAACTTTTTCTGGACTAAACTTCAATTTGTTTGTCCAACGTGAGCTAGGCACCATCTGGGACACAAAGCCACACCACCCTCAGCCAATGGGCTACGCGAGTCACACTGTCCTCACTATAGCTACCTGCAGACCAAAGAAAAACTCTATTGAGAGGTTTTCTCACATCCCACAAGTGACCCCAGAACACTGTGATTTGGGACCCAAAAAATTTTATAGCGTATATCTAACAGATTTCCAAGCTTATGTCACAATGCATCTCCTGATTAGCTGGCATTTCACTCACAAGCTGAGGAAGATGGAAGAAAACAGGTGCAAACTGGGGACTTCACTGTTTTCTAGGAATGTCATGAAATGCAGACCTTTGTAATTGTTTCTCAGCCTATATCAAGGGAACAAACCCAAACTCCGTATCCACTGTATTTGCAATCATTGAGACTGCAAAAGCAATCAAAAGAACAGGGTTTGGCTTGGCAGTAATTCCTGTTCCCTCCATGATCTTATTTCAACTGTTTTGTGCTATTCTCTGACCTTGTTAAAAGCCACCTTGCCAGGAGCCCGCCACTTTCCCATCTGAATGCCCTTGTCACCAAAATGAATTACCGCCTTGCATTAGTGGTTCAAACAGCCTCCTGATAGGAAATGCAGGAAGAGCAGAAAATGGTGCAAAACTCAAAATGATATATTATCGCTAAAATGCTACAACTTCACTTGTCAAGGATTGTAATTAGAGCTGGGCCAAGGCAATGTTAGCTCAGCTGCCTCTGAACACACCTGTTTCAATTTAATTTGCAGTAATTAGAAAGCCTAGGGCACCAGGAAAAAATGCTCTACAGTTACTGTTTCAAATAGCTGAGTTTTCATGTGCCATTTAAAATCCTGTTTTTCAGAACAGACTGCTGACTTGCTAATGCTAGCAAAATGAAATAAAGCATAATATTTTTAGCAGCAGGAAGTTGTTACTTGCTACTGCCAATTACATGCCTTGTACTTGAACAGTGACATTTTTTCCCCTTTGCTTATTCTTCAAGATAGGTAAAAGCTGGCTTAGGTCTTGGTGCACGAGGATTCTAACAAAACTCCGAGTCCCCCGGAGCTGGCTGACACTTCTGGAGTCATAGCCAATACTGGCAGCAATCTGCTGTGACAGAGCAAACAACAGCGTCCCAGATCCACTCTTCAGAAAAGGGGGAAGGAGAAGATTAAGCAAGAGACTTGGATCTATTGACTTTGGCAAAATGTTGAATACCTTGTCATGCTAATAAAAGTACTGAATTTGGGGAGGAGAAAATGGGGCAGAGGGGGGGAAATTAAAAAAGCATTAAAATTACATAAGAATAGATATTTATACTCTGAGTTAATTTATCAAACTGACATGGAGATGAATCATCCACCATTAAATAATGGGATACAAGTTTTCTTTATATCACAATCATTATTTACAACTCTTAAATATTCACGGAGGAGTCAAGTATCCTCATCTTTTAATTTAAAATGTGATCTTGCAGGCCAAAATAAAAAACTGTTGGCAAAAATAAGTTTCTACAGGAACAGTGCCCAAAGAATGATTTCTTCAAAAACAGGATAGACCTTAACAGTCATGATGGCACTTTTTTTTTTTAAACCTACACTATAAACCACAAGGGGCTCAAGCAATTCACATTAAGCTAGATCTCTGAGTAACAAAGCGATGAGAACGAATAGTAACAAGAGCCTGTGGTAGAGCTAGACACAGCTACTTACGACTTTTAAATACAGAACACAAACCTTAGTTATTTTTTTGAGGTGACAGACAACTCTGCTTTGATGCAGGTTCATTCCCACACAATGAGAATCCAAGTGAAGCCAATAAGGGTCCTCTCGGTGAACTAACTTGAATATATGCATGTATTCCTACAAGTATAAGTCCACTGTTTTAATAATTGGCCTTTTTATGCTGTATTGCCATTAGAAAGACAACCAGACCACTGTATGCATCTTAGAACACATGCCAAAAAAATAAAACGTATCTGGGAAATTCTGAGCAACAATTCATGAATACTGTTTACATTATTTAGGAATGATTTTAATATTATCTGTCATTATTTTCCATAGACTGACACAGATGTATATTTAAAAACTGGACAAGAAAACAGAAAGAGAAACCCATATGACAAAACGAGTGTTAACAGTCAGCAATATCATTTCACCACTTAAGTGAACTTTATGGAATACAACAGCATGTACCTGAAGCTGTGCTTATACAACGTATATGGGATACCCATACCACGCATGATCTTAAAAATCACAAAAATCAGAAGTATATGAAAGTTGCATCTTCTTTTATTCATTTGTCTTTGCTGCTTCAACAGGTAATTTTGTTACAATCCAGGTTTTTAGTTTTTCTATTTCAGTTATGCTTAACTCATGATTAAGGTCTGGAAAAGTATGAAATGCTGTTGATACTCCCAGTGACTTTAACATCTTGTTGGTCTCTTCACCCCATGAGTAGAGAACTAGTTCATCATCAGTTCCATGACACTGAAATAATTCTGGAAGAACACTTGCATTTCTTTTCAAAGCCTAGATGGAGAAGAAACACTGTCAGACACACCACTAAAATTTTTAAAAGAACAGTTATAATTATGTGGTAATTTACACAAGATTTCATTATTAACCTGCATTTTAGTGGTCATACTGTACCATCCCTACAAAAGCAAACAAGGAAATATTTGAAAAAAACCTGCACTTCCAATTCCAATATGCTACCTCTTGACAAATTAAAGGGTTTGTTTTAAGGTCTATCACAGAATCACAGTGTTAGGGCTTGGAAGGGACCTTGAAAGATCATCTAGTCCAACCCTTCTGCCAGAGCAGGACCACCTAGAGTAGGTCACACACGAATGCAGCCAGGCGGGTTTTGAATGTCTCCAGAGAAGGAGACTCCACAACCTCTCTGGGCAGCCTGTTCCAGTGCTCTGTCACCCTCACAGGGAAAAAGTTTTTCCTTATGTCAATGTGGAACCTCCTGTGCTCCAGCTTGCATCCACTGCCCCTTGTCCTATCCTTGGCCATCACCAAAAAGAGCCTGGCTCCATCCTCCTGACAGTCACCCTTTACGTATTTCTAAACATTAATGAGGTCACCCCTCAGTCTCCTCCAAACTAAAGAGACCCAGCTCCCTCAGCCTTTCATCATAAGGGAGATGTTCCACCCCCTTCATCATCTTTGTGGCTCTGTGCTATTTATGACAGCAGATGGAGCCCATGAGTATTATAATTCATCATAAATTTCCAAAGAATAGGTACACTTACATGGACTCTCTAACAACTAAGGACAACTTGCAAAGCATTTTATTTGTTAATCTGCCTTCTACACTGATTTGAGTAAAATAATCGTACTGTCTGTGCAAAAAAGCAACAAAACATCATATAAGGACAGCTTTAAAGCCTCGCTTCCCTAATACTCTGCTTACCTATTTCCAGGAAATGTCGTAAGCTTAAATATTAATCAATTGCCTCAGATGAATAAACGTGCTATAATCAATTTTAATTATCATTCTTTTCTTTTAGCTAAGCAGTTTTTCTGTAAAGTCTACCCCACACTCACCTGGTAAACAGCAGAGTCTTTATTGAGAAAACTAGACAAAGCAAAGACTCCTGGCAGGTCTTGATGAAACCTGTATGCTAAATGCATTGCCATTCCACCTCCCATCGAAAAGCCTCCTAGGATGCAGCAAAAGAAACAAAGATTGGATTTTGCTACATGTGTTTGTAACAGTGTCCAATTTATTTTTATCTTCAGACTTGTTTCTTTTATACACAATGCAATCAAAAAACATCTTGAGTAACATAAAGGTTACAATGATCTTAAATCAAAGCCTGATTCAATTAAGAAGTTGGATAGCTAAAGTACTACTGAAGATTCATTACTGAAGAGAAAAATAAGAAAAAAAAAATCAGCCCAAACGCCAATACTTTAGAAGCCATTCGTGTATGGTCCCTACCAGGCAGCTAAACACTGTGGCCATATATTCTGTGACGTTAAAAAAGCAAAACTCTACAAACAGATAATTGTCATTGCTTTCTTTATTCAACTTATTTTTCCCCTAGACTAGCAGCATTCAGACACGGAAGTTCCGTATTACTATTGTATATAGTCAATGAACATTCACCACATTAGACTAGTACACAGAGGTTGAGAGGTTTTTTTATTGTTGTTACACCTTGGGATATGTAACAGGGAAAATTGCAATGTACCCTACCTGAGCTCTAACAGGATCTCTGAATTAATGGCTTTCTGTGTTCCATACATCTCTTCAACTGCACTAATTCCTTACATAAGATAATTCCTCAGGGATGATTTTTACACGACAAATGCTTATTCATTAGGAAAGAAATCCAGACTCCTGCATAACTTCACAGGGACACAGTACATAGGCTACTGTACTGACTGTATCCAGATAATGACTAGGCTGAAGAATGAGTGGCTGCTGAAATTTCTTCTAGCACAGAGAGGGCAACAAGCAGAAAGGTTATGACCGCAGCTCTACTTAAGAGCAGCATTAGCATCCACGGTACTGGTCATACAACTGGTTTGTATCAGGTGGTTAACTGGTGTTAATTAGTCGCAAAATTCTGAGCCCAGATCTTTTCACAAGAGACACACGAAATTAGGGATTGAAGAAGAAATGCAAAAGTAGCAGACAAAATACCGAATCATTTTTGCTTGTTATCTTTTTGAAGCAATTAAATTGAAACTCCAGAATGGGAACGGCTCTTTTGCTAGGACTATGTAAACCCTCTGGGGCTGACTTCTGTGCTATGCAGAAGTTCGACATGGGTGCTAAACAAAACCCAGGAAGCAGTGCCTCTGCAGCACTGAAACGGAGCCCAATGACACCCTGCAACTTTGGTATTTCACTGGATCCTGGGATCACACAGGAAATCTCTGGCACACACAAGCTCAGAGGCAGAAAATGTTGCATTTTGTAAATATTAGTTGGGTCATGGTGAGACTGTTCCTAACGGGGAATCCTCTTCTGGCACGTTTATCTGCAGGTCTGAGGCCCTTCTATCTCACAATCCATCCCATGTTGTGACTGGAAGATTTGTCTGGATGTAGGAAGCTTTCCTGAAAACACTGGGCTAATCCAGACATGAAGTATTTTCTTTCTTTCTCCCAGGCAACATTACTTTTTGATTCTTAATTAACTTCTGATCTGAATTTCTACTGGATTTCTGATTCTTCTTTCTACTTACTGTTATCTTGTAGTCTTAAGAAACAATTAAGGTCAAAAGCAGTAACTGCAGGTCCCTGACTTACAGAACTTGGATCTTAGGGAGAAACAGCAAGACCACACAACGTGGAAGATTGTAGTCTTGCTTTCCTTTTTCAAACGCACTCCTTAACTGAATTAGGAGAGCTGTATCCTCAAATTAGAACATATACCTGGGAATCCCTAGCTATGCACCCAAGGGGCTGATAATACTCTGATATTTATCTTTGGTAAATAAAGCCAGGACCTGCTATTTACCCTATGAATCAATCTTTAACCAGTTCAAAGTTAAATGCAGTATGTCTAAGTGCCCAGTGGCAGTTCACAGACGTAGTTGAGGAA